GCGGAGCTCCGGGGGCCTGTCCCGTCATTTGCCTTCAGCCAGAATGACATGTGCCTGGTGTTTGTAGCCCTTGCCACCTGGGCTGTGAGGACGTCAGATCTGCACACCCCAGACGCTTGGAAAACAGGTTCGGGTGCTGGGGGCAGAGGGAGCTGTGGCTAGAAGCCAGACCGAGGGGCACTGGCAGGACGAGGGGTGCATGGGGGCCCCAGGGCTCTCCCCTGACCTGCTCCTCCCAGGCTGAGCCGAGGCCCTGGCCGCACCGGCCTAGCCCGCCCTTTGAGGGCTGGGTCTTGCGGGCAGACGGTGGTCACAGCCAGGCTGGCCCTCAGGAGACCCTGTGCTTCTCTTGCAGTCTTGCTGGCCAACGTCGGCACCATCTCTGCCATCCGCTACTTCCGCCGGCAGGTGGGGCAAGAGCGCCACAGCCCCAGCTCCTAGGAGCCAGGCCCGGGCCAGGGAGATGCGGGATGAGGAGACGACCACAGGCACCCAGGACGGGACGAGGTGCCACCCTTGCCCGAGCCCTCTGACCCCTGTCTTCTACGGCGTCCAGGAGGGGGGCGTGTCCTGGTGCTGCTCCCTCGGACTCACCTGAGGATCCAGCCAGTGGCCACGGCCGCTCCCCACGCCTGGGAGGGAAGGTGCTAAAGTCTGGGTGGGTGGAGGGAGCCAGGTGGCTGGATAGGAGGGTGGCCAGATTCACAGATGAGAACACAGGGCATTCGGTTAATTTCAGACACGCAATAGTGGGGAGGTCATTTTACTAAGAAGTTATTTGTTGTTTATCTGAAATCACATTTAACCACACCCTGCATTTCTTCCGGGATGCAGTGGGGGCTGAGTGGCAGGACAGGACTTGGACCCTGGAGGGGTCTGAGCAGCGAGAGGCTGTGGCTGGAGCTCTGGGCAAACGGAGGGGCGAGGACACAGGGCGGCCTCCTCACAGGTGGGCCGGGCTGCCAAGGGCTCCAAGGCCCATCACTCTTGATCCTCAAGGGACTGTGGCCAAGGCCTCTCTGAGCTCTGGCCTGAGACAGTGAAGGCAGCCTGGCGGCCCCTGCAGGGTGGGGGTCTGTGGCAGAGCTGCGAGCCCCTCCCTGGGAAGCCCTGGGTGCAGGTGCAGAGGAAGAATTTGGCAGCATCAGACGGAGGGCTGGGCTCCTGGGGTTGTCCTGGCGGCTCCTGTGGGGCAGCTGGGGGCCCACGGCCAAGGGGAGTCAGAGACGAGTTGGGAAGTTTGGTGAGGAGCCGAAGGTGGCAGAGGAAGGGGGCTGCCTGGCTGGGTGCCAGGTGGGGGTCCCCGGGTGGGGGTCCTGCCAAGGCAGTGTGTGCAGGGCCCTCAAGACTGTGGGAGATCCTGGCTGCTGAGCGGAGAACACATGTACGTGGCACCAATAAAATTCTTTCTTTTCTTTTTCTTTCTTCTTTTCCTCGTTCTCTCTCTCTCTTTCCTTCTCTTCTCTTCTCTCTCTTCTCTCTTTTCTCTTTTTGTTCTTTCTCGTCCGGTGGTGTCAGCAACTCCCGTGCTGCCCTATGGCGCATGCCCAGGCCATGCAAGGACCCACCCGCCCTCCTCCTTGGGACACCCTGGCCAGTGCTCCTCACACCTTGCTGACCTGTGACCCTCATGCCCTCTGACCTCACATACCCTGACCCTGCTGACCTTTCTCTTTCCTCCGACCTTCACGCCCATGCCGCCCCCCTCCCACTCCCAGTGAGTCTCCCCCCGACTCCTGGCGAGCTGAGCTGACGGCCGACCCTGTGGATGGCCAGGACCTCCCTGACCTGTGACCCACCTCGCCAGCCAGGGCATCCTTGGGGTGAGCCCTTCCTGCCCCTCCCTGCCCCAGCTGCTGGCACTGAGGAGCAGGAACTGAGGGACAGGCTCTGAACTCAGGGCCCCAGAGACCCCCCCATCACACTGGGTTCAGACCCTGACTTGTAATTTGAAGTGGGTTAGAGGGGCGGGTACCCTGGAGCTTGGTGAGGGTGGTCCTGAGAGCCGGCCTCACTGTGGCCATCAGATCCACTGCACCAGACCCGCACTGGCCTCAGGCCCTCCAAGCTGGGGGCACTTCCGGTGGGAGGAAGACAAAGTCTCGTCCCAGAGGTGGTCGTAGCTGGGACCTTGGCTCCTCCTGGGGGACCAGCCATCTAGTAGGGAAGGCAGAGATGTGTCAGCCTGTGGCAGGCAACAGGCACTCACCCCAGGAGGCAGGACCCTCACTCACCTGTCAGAGGCAGCCGGGGTTCAGGCAAACCTTCCCTGGCAGAGGAGACCTGGGAAGCCCAAACCGCCAGTCTGAGAGTCAGGTACAGCCCCAGGCAGGGAGCTTGGAGACGGCCGGTCGATGTGCAGACCCCCACCCCCCGGGTTGGCATCACCCACGTCCCCCTGCTCTCCCTCCCCAGTCCCGTCTCCCCACCTCCCTGCTGGCCTCCTGGTCTCCATCTGCCCCCGTCCTCCTGTTTCCCTCCCTGCTCCCTCAGAGTCCCAGAAGGCCCCACACCAGCGCCCCCAGCACCCCGGAGCGCAGGGCACACTGGCGTGAGGACTGCTACTCACAAGCTGAGGGGAGTCTGGGGGCTGTGGCCCCCCGTCCTTGGCTGAGCCCCGGTGTCTCTGAGAGGCTCTGGACTGCAGGACTCCCTTCTTGGAGAGCAAGTGGGGGCCCGAGGGGCCAGAGGAGCTGGAGCCGGGGTCAGAGGCAGGCACAGACACAGGCACCAAGGGGTGTGGGCTCAAGGGCACAGGTCCAGGTGAGCTCTGCATGGCACTGAGGAACTGCCAGGAGAGCCTGGGCTGGGGCCTCAGTGGCATCCAGGGACCCCCAGAACCTCAACCTCCCATCAGAGCCTGAACAGACCTCAGGCTCGGGGCAGCCCCAGACCCCAGGCCGAGAGGCACGGTCTAGACCTCCCCAGCCTCAGGCTGCAGGCACCTCCCGCCCTTTCTGTCGCCCAGCAGGGGCCTGACCTCCTCCAGGCCCCGGACATCGGTGACCCTGCGGTGGGAGGTGGCAGGGGGCGTGTAGGGGTCAGCGTAGAGGGGTGAGTGTGAAGTTTCCGAAGCGTGGTCAGGGGCGTCTGGGCTGTTCTCCAGGCTCAGCCTGTTCAGCTGCAGGGCAGAGGTGGGAGAAATGGGCTTCTCGGCTAGAAGCAGCCTAGGCCACCCCTTCTCTGTGCAAGACACCTCTGGGTGGCGCCAGGACAACCAGGCCCAGAGACAGAGGCCAGTGGTGCGGAATGGTGGGAACCAGGCCAGGGGCTGGGTGGGTGTGCTGGGCCCACCTGGGTCAGGTCCAGGTGCAGTGGGGTGGCAGGGCCGCGGCCCTCTGCCCGGGCCTTGCTCCTGGGTGACCGGCTGCTGCTACGTCTCAGCTCAGTCCTCCGTCGGCCAATGCTGGTGCGGTCAGAGTTGGCCTGGTCCTGTGGGGACCACAAACCTTCCACAGAGAGCCCCTTGGCCCCTCTCCTGTGCAACTCTCTGAGGCTGCAAGGGGCTCCCTCCAGTCTGAGTTCCCCTGACGAACCAGGGTCCCCAACACACACTTACCCGACAGTCTTCTGCCCCACTTTCGTCTGCCGCCCCGTAAGCACTCACCGGTGTGTGCTGGGAGGAGCAGCCCACAGTGGATGGCACTGAGGACTCAGGCAAGGAGTGGCTGGTGCGTGTGGAGGGGGGCGCCAGGCACCCCGAGTCCCAGCTGGTCCGTCCGCCTGAGGACAGTGAGCCTCGGCCACTGCCCGTAACCTGGGTGGGCAGTGAGTGGGGGTGAGTGAGGGCTGGACCCCCTCCCCACCTGCCCCTGCCTGGACCTACCCTGCTGCCCCCGCTTTTTTCTTTTTGGGACAGAGTCTTGTTCTGTCTCCCAGGCCGAAGTGCAGTGGCACAGTCTCGGCTCACTGCAACCTCTGCCTCCCGGGTCAAGCGATTCTCATGCCTCAGCCTCCTGAGTAGCTGGGATTACAGGGGTGCATCACCATGCCTGGCTAATTTTTTGTTTGTTTGTTTTGAGACGGAGTCTCTCTGTGTCACCCAGGCTGGAGTGCGGTGGCGAGATCTCGGCTCACTGCAAGCTCCGCCTCCCGGGTTCACACCATTCTCCTGCCTCAGCCTCGGAGTAGCTGGGACTACAGGCGCCGCCACCTCGCCCGGCTAGTTTTTTGTATTTTTTAGTAGAGACGGGGTTTCACCGTGTTAGCCAGGATGGTTTCGATATCCTGACCTCATGATCCACCCGCCTCGGCCTCCCAAAGTGCTGGGATTACAGGCTTGAGCCACCGCGCCCGGTCTGCTGCCCCATTTTTACCACTGCCCAGGACCTGGGCTGTGGGGCCTGCTGATGCCTCACCTGCAGCCCTGGGAAGCTCTCGGCGCCAGGCAGCGGCGGGGCCCCCTCCCTGTGGGTGACGGCACGAAGGCACAGCAGCCAGTGGCTGTAGTCCTCGTAGCTGGCGCACACCACGCGGATGGTGTTGATGAGGGGGCCTGGCACACAGATGCTGTGAGGGGCTGGCAGGGTGGGGTGTATCCCTCAGCACCCCCACTAAAGAGCCGGGTGTCCCCCAGGCTCCCGCCCCACCATGGCCTGGCCAGGCAGGAGGCAGAACTGGGGTCAGGGCCCCACCTTCGATCAGGAAGGAGTGGATATGCTTCTCCTTCTCCTCCAGGTTGATGTGGACCGCACGGAGTGGGAGCTCCCCCTGTGGGGGCGGAGACTGAGGGCCAGGCCTTTGTGGGGGCAGTCCCGGGGCCCCGCCTGGCTTCGTCCCACCCTCGTGCCCTCCAGAGCTTGGCTGGGTACTTGGAGAGCTGGGCACCGAGGCCACCGCCCTGAGGGAGGCCAGTGGGTCCCATCTGTCCTGGGGCCACTGCTAGCCCTGGGGCAGACACACAAAGCCGCAGGACTGGCCTCCTGGGGTCCCCAGAGAGGAAGTTGGGCCGGGGGAACCACAGGGAGGGCCCTGTGTTTGTTCCTCAGTGATTGAAGGTTGCCATGAGTGCACACCCCCTTCCCGGTGCCTGCCCTGGAGGACACAGGCACACACACGTGTGCACACACACCCCTCACGGGCAGGCACACACGAGGGAGTCCCCAGGAGGGGCTCTCAGCCCCGTGCTGCCTGCCCCAGGGTGACAGTCAAGAACCTCAGGGTGAGAAGCTCAGGGCGGGCAGGGGCTCCTCCACGTCACGGGGAGACCAGACTGACCAGGACTGCGGGCCTTGCGCTCTGTCTCAACAGGCCCCGAAATACAGGTTCCTCCTGCACGGCCGCCCCCTTCCACCCCCACACAGGTGCCTCCCTGGGGCGGGCCCACAGTGGGGAGGGGCCCACCTTGAAGCAAAGCCCGTCCAGCTCGTCGGAGAAAATGGCCAGGGACGTCGGGTACAGGACCAAGAGCCGGTCCCACTGCTCCTGAGTGGGGGGCGTCAAACGATGCGGGGGCTGAGCTGCTGTGCACCCAGGGCCAGTCCCTGCCCTGCCCAGCACCCTGCACCCCTCCCGTCCCCCTACAGCCCCATGCACCTCCCACCCACCTGTGCGGGCAGGTGCTGCAGCTTGACCCTCGAGGCACAGACAGCGCTGCCGCCGGGTTCGTGCCCTGACGCCGTCCGCAACCGGGTTAGGCGGCGTTGCAGAGTCCAGGGGAGCTCGTCTCCACAGGACCCCTGTGAGGAGGAGGTCAGAGCAGGCTGCGAGGATCTGGGTGGGGAGGGGCGTGGGGTCCCTGGCACTGACCTGTGGCGGTGCCGAGTGGCAGTGTTGCAGCCCCCCAAGGAGGGCCGTCTGCTTCTCCAGGTGGTAAAGCCAGCGGTCCAGCTCGGCCCGGCTGGGGCAGAGCACCAGGAGGGGTGCGGGCAGCGGGCCTGCGGGCGGGGCAGAGAGGGCACACACATACACACACATGCCCCACAGCCCACAGGGCAGGCCCCTCTCCAAGTCCTGGGTCACGAGTGCCTCTGGGGGCCCGGGGAGCATCCCAAACACCTGTGATCTGGAAGGCGTGCTCTCGGGACCCCTCCAGCAGGCAGACGCTCAGCTCCGTCAGTGGTAACAGCCCCTGCCAGCCACAGGGTAGGAGCTTCAGGGATCCACGGAGGGAAGGGTGGCCGTGGCCCCACCCCCACCGCCCACTGCCTCACCTGAAAGGTGAGTCCTTCCGAGCCGTGGGCCTGGAAGTACAGGTGGGCGGGGAACAGCTCCAGGTAGCAGTCGCTGACATCCTGCGCGGGCAGCAGGGTCGTCAGTGCAGGGTCTGGGGAGCCCCAGGCTGGTGGGGATGCTGCACCCGGAGCGTGCTCCCCCCAGCCCGGCCCGGCCCCCACCTGGCTGTGCTGGAACCGCAGCTGGACCTTGGCGTAATGTACGACCTTTCCCAGGTTCCTCACAGGCACCCTCCGCCGCGCCTTCTTGAACACACTCAGGAACGGCTGCTCCAGGTTTTCTCGTTGGTTCTGCAGGTCCAGGATGTCCTAGGAGGAGCGGCGCTCAGGGGAGGGGCCTCGCCTGGGCCCCTCACCCCCTCCGCTGGCATCCACACAGCCACAGGATTACAGGCATGGTCTGCCTGTGCACAGCCACCCAACACATATGTGAAGAACAGCCTCCCCCAGGCATAGAACCTGCACACTCAGCCTCTCCACAGGAAAACAGTCATGGCAGAACTTACACACACACGTGCATACATATATACACACATGCACGTTTGCATACACGTACATGCACACACCCCCGATACGTGCACATACAGGCAACATGCATGTATCCATATATGCACACGCACACATACACGTGCATACACGCACATATGCATACACATACACATAGACACACACATGCCACACAATACAGACACATACAGATGCATACACACATGTACCCACACATGTCCACACACATTCACGCATATGCATGGATACACACGTGCACACATATGCACTTGCACACATACACACAGATGCATACATGTCCACACACAGAGACATACACCAAAACACACATGTATACACATACACGTGTCACGTGCACACATACACATGTGCGCACACATATACACATGTACACACACATGCATGCACTGCACACATGCACATGTACACATGCGCACACATACGCAATGCACACCTATACACATGTGTACACACATGCACGCATATGCATACATACACACATGCACATGTAGATTTGCACACACATGCACACATGTGCATACATGCATACACATCCACACACCAATACATGTATACACATGCACGTGTGCACACACGTGTGCACATGCATATACACACATGCATACACACATGCATGCACACATACACAGTGCACAAATACGTGCACACACACGCACATATACACATGTGCATACACACGCACACATACACATACACACTTGTGCACACACTCATGTGCGAGCATACACACACACAGACACACTTCCCCACACAGAGCTAGAGCTGCCTGGTCTAGTGGTAGAGATGGTGAGATTTGAACTCAGTGGATTAAATCCTATCTTCATTATTTCCTAAGCTGTGTAACATGTCTTTGGTTATTCAACCTCTGAAGACTTGTTAGAAGAATTTGGGGGTGTCTGGGTAACACTCAAAACCCTCCCACGTCTCCAGTATTGGCTGGTAAACATTTAACACCTGGTTCTACAAAAAACAGACACAGAAACACACCAATGCCCTGATTTGTAACGTTTGTCAATTTCCTCAGTGTCAATGCTCTCAGCGCCGCCCATTTCCAGCCCCCAGCCTGAAAGATGTGAGGAGATTTCTGGGGTCGATCCCCTGAGTGTGTGCTGGCCGCTTGCTCAAGTGACAGCGGGTCCTGGCAGTGCCCCGAGGGGTCAGACCCCTGCTCTCCGGCCACTGCATGTGCTCTTCCCGCTTTGGGACCGCTCAGCCCCGACCCCCTTCCTTACCCACTTTGCAGCTTTGCTCAGACATCACCTGCTCCAAGAGGTCCTTTTCTGAAAGCCCCTCTAAAATTCCAGCCTTCCCTGATCCTCTGCACCCATCCCCTCTGTTTTTCTCCTTAGCACCAACCCCACCCTTCTCACTGGATCTTCTATTTATTTGCCCCGTCGTCTGTCTCTGCCGTGGGAATGGGAGCACCGTGAGAACAGGGGTTGTCTATTCCGTTCACTTCTGTGTCCCCAGAGCCTAAGACAGGGCCTGGGATGTGCTGTGGGTATCACTGCATGTGCTGAGAGGGGAGGGGAATCCACATCCATGCCACACTTAGCCAATCCTGGCACAGTCCTCTACAAATGCAGGCTTTGATCACCAGGCTAGAGATCAGAAAGGGGACGGGTGTGAACCTGGGGCTAGAGAGCTCTGTGATCCACAGGCTCAGGGGCAAGTGGGAAGGTGTCCTGCTCCCTCTAGGAGCTGGCAAGGGCTACCTGCAGTGCTGCTGTGCCCTGGCCAAGCTTAGCTGCCCCTGAGCAGGCCCAGGAATGTGAACAGACAGACGCATAGGCTTTCCCGGCCTCCCGCCTCTGGGTGGGGCCTCCTGTACCCACACCCAGCGTGGGAACTGATGCCGGGTAGGCACCCATGAAAAATAGGCCACAGACCAGGAAGGGCCACACAGCTAGCCCTGCAGCCCAGCTCAGCCTCGGGGCCCCAGGGAGGACTCAGCTTGGAGCCGGCAGAGCCAGCTCACAGCACTGGGTGCAGAGCCCAGGCACAGGGCAGAGGAGCACTGGCTCCAGGACTGGCCCCGAGCTTCTCCCCCAGCCCCATTTCCTGAGGCTCAGCGGGTTCCCTCTCTGGCTACCATGTCCTGGCAAAGGAGGACCACTAGGGCCACCCACCACACCTCATAGGACCCCACCAGGGTCCCACTGCATGTCCTGGGCCTGGACAGAGAGAGTAGCGTCTGAGATGCAGCCAAAGGGACCCCACCCCTAGGCCAGCCTGGCTCCCTCTGCCTGCCCACTCCTCTGAGGCAGTGTGGTTTCCGAAACCAGCACCTGTTGTCTGCAGGGAACCCTGAAACTCTGCAGGTCAGGAGAGGGTATGGCACGAGCCTCCTGCCTGGCGGGGGCATGTTGGTGACGGGGTCTGCACGGCCACACCAGCTGCTGGACCTAGGAGTGCAGGGCAGGGGTCCTCTCCCCCAGACGCTCCTAGGGCCTGCACATAGCATCCAGGCTGCCTGACAGGGGTGCAGTGGGGGCTCCTGTCTGCCCTGAAGCCAGGTTCCTCCTCCTGTTCCCTCAACCCAGCACCAGGCACATCTGAAAGGGGATGGGCATCTACCCTGTGAAGACCCTTAGTCCTACGGAGGCCTGGGCGGGGGGATGGGCATGGGGGTTCTTCTGCTCCTTCCACGGACAGGTGGCCTAGTGTGTGCTCGGGAGATGCCTCCTTGCTGCGTGGCCTTGGCAGGCTGGGAGGAGGCCCGTGCGTGCACACAGGGGTTGCTGTGGACCGGGCCGCCGTACCCAGCAGCAGCTTCCTGCGGGACACCCCGGGAAAAACAGGCCTCGTAGGTGGCCGGCTGGCTCACTGCTCACCTGAGGCCCCTTACTGTCAAGTGACACGACCAGCACGACCCCAGCCCCACTGCAGCGACAGAGACGCGTGCGCCGGTCCCCTGCGGGAGGAGGTCCCGGGAGGCCCCGCCCGCGGCCCGCCCCGCCCAGCTCGCTCCCGACTGACTCAGTCCTGCGTCGCGGTTTCGCTCTCCGCTCAGACTTTCGGCCGGATGAGCTCCCCAGGGCGGGGCAGTCAGCGTCCGCTCCTCACCTAAGGGGGTCTGAATCCCCCCGGGCCGAGGGGAAGACCCTGAACTGCACGGACACGCGGCACACACGCCCGGGCAGAGCCACGCGCCCAGACCCCAGCCACCGCGTGCGCCGCGCTCACCGTGCCGGGGATGTAGTGGAAGAGCTTGTTGGCGGCGGCGTCCCCGCTTCGAGCAGCCTCGGGGCCCAGCAGGCCAGCCGGCATCCGTGCGCCGTCCTCTCTGGGGACAAGGCAAGGGAGCTCGTGGCCCCGAAGCAGGTGGGGGAGCCCTGTGCCCAGGTGGCCACACCCACACCCCGCTCACCTGTTTCCCTTCAGTGAGGGCTTTCTGGAGAAGGAGGCCCGGAGCCTCCTGGGGGCCTGAGGGACACAGTGGCTGTTCCCCATGGCCAGAGTCGTGCAGGTCGGCAAGTCTGGGTCCCTGTCCACAGCCTCCTGCCCCCGCCTCCCACAGGCAGGCGGGGCTCTGGGACGTCCCACCCGTCACCCAGGGCTGGGAGGGGGTGGAGCCTTTCTGGAAGAGGCCTGGCCCCTACCTGAGCCGTCCAGGTCTCTGCCCTGGGCCCTCCACACCGAGGGGCCAGCCTTGGGGTGATCTCCCCTCTGGCCCAGACAAGGCCTCCAGTGTGCAAGGGGCACCCCACTTGCCTGTGCTCAGGCTTTGTGAACTCGGGGCCACCTTCCAGCACCCCCCCAACAATGTGCACACACATCCTGTTTCCATCTAAACCCTGGCCAGCCTGAGTCACCGGTGACTGCAGGGAGGGCTGAGGCAGGAATTCCAGCGTAGGAGACAGCGGCCAGAGCCACCCCAGCCTCCCCTCCTGCCTGGGCTCCCTCACCACAGACCCGTCAGGGTCCTCAAGGCTTAAAGGGACTCTGGAAGGCCACGTGCCACCTAGGCGGCCAGGACAGTCAGCATACGCAGGGGCAGTGCTGTCCTCCCCCACCGCACCCCCAGAGCCCAAGACGTGGCAGGGACCTCAGCCTCAGGACCCAGCCCAGGCAAACCCCACCTACAGCGGGAGGGACTCCATGGCCCCCACCCTCCCTGGATGCACAGCTCTGCCTTGTAGCCCCCAGACACCGGTGCAGCATCTCAGGCCACCCGCCCATGCCCCTCACCCTGGACCCCCAGATAGGACCCAAAGTTGCGCAGCTGCCCCACAAGCCAGAGAGATGCTCAGCCTGAGGAGCCCAGAAATGTGTTTATTGTTCAAGTTGGGCTTGTATTGCTGTGTGGGGCCCAAGTGCACACGTGTGCACCCACTACAAGATCCAGGGAAGACGGCACAAAGCAGACGACGACAGGAAGGACACCTGCTCCCTACCCTTCCCGGGACCCCGCCGTGTGCAAAATTCGAGCTGGGGTCTGCAGCTGCTTGGAAAGCCCCAGGGCCTCTGGCTCCGCGGCCTGCAGGGTCTGAGCAGGTAATGGCCCTGGGGCAGCGAGGCCCCCACCTGGTCACTCCTGGCTGCCCGCCATGCAGGCAGTGGAGGGGAGGACAGGCGGCTGCAGCACTGCTCACCCCTCAATAAATAAGATAAATAACTAAATAAATAAACAACTAAATATAGACACTAAGGAATGGACGCAGAGACGTGAACAGAAAATGCAAGATGTCCCTGGTGGGGGCCACGGCCCCCTTAAGGCATGTGGGAGGCTGCAGGCCTCTGGGGGTGGGGGGGTCAGAGGCTGGTGGAGGACACGGACAGCGTGGGCGAGGACGGCGGTGGGAAGTTGAGCAGCTCCAGCACCGCCACGCCCACACTGCTACGCCGTGTGAACATGCAGGACGCGGCCACCCACTTGTTGGTCCTCGGGTTGTACTTCTCGATGGAATTGAGGCTGGAGCTACCATCGTTACCCCCCACGGCGTACAGCCATCCATCCATGGCCACCAGGTCGTGCGTGCTCCTGGGGGGCAGGCGGGGTGAGCCCCTGGCTGCAGGAAGGGGTGCGGGGGGAGGGGCCGCGCCACGAGAAGCAGTGGGGGCGGGACATGCCCACTGAAGTGGGGAAAACCCCCTCCCCGCAGCACAGCCCCACTGCGGACCTGCGGATGTTCATCGGCGCCACGCTCTCCCAGGCTCCAGCCTTGGGACTGTATCTCTCTACCGAGTTGAGGCAGCTGGTGCCGTCGTTGCCCCCTGCCACGTACAGGGCACCCTCCAGCACGGCCACACCTGCTGAGCTGCGTCGGCTTAGCATGGACGCCACGGACGACCAAGCGTTCACCTGGGGGTGAGGGTGTGGGCTGGAGGCAGACCCGCCACAGGCATCCCTCCCCTGCCGCAGCCCCACCTCCAGCGTGGGGTGTCAGGAATGGGTGGGATGTGGGTGACCAGAGAGGGGAGGGCCCCGCAGCGCACAGGAGGGTGTGGCCAGGAGGGGTGCACTATGCACCTGGGGCTCATACTTCTCCACAGTGGCCAGGTGTGAGGAGCTGTCGTAGCCGCCCACGGCATACAGGTTCCCATCTGCGGAAAATCAACATGCCCGTGGCACTCCTGCTGGCAGTGGGGTCTCCAGGGTGGGGGAAGGCGGGGACTCCCCCCAGGCAGGCCCCATCACCCACCAAGCGTGGCCACTCGCACATAGCGCCTCCGGGTGCTCATGGCAGCGACGGATGTCCACGTTCCGGTCAGGGGGTCGTAGCGTTCGGCACTGTGGGCACCAGGACCGCCACAGCTCAATAGAGACAGAAAGGCGTCCCGGCCCCAGGACCTGCCCTCCCCAGCAGAACGGCTGAAATCTTACCCTAGGAGCCACAGAGACTCAGACCGCAAAGTCCTACCAGCCAGGACCCGCTGGTGGGCACAGGCCCCTGGCTGCCTGGAAAACCCTGGGCGTACACCCACCTGGGCCCAGCCTCTGGACTGGAGATAAGGATCCCAAAGAGGAAAGGGGACTGGGGCAGCAAAGCCAGTTCAGGCCCAATGTGGCCGTGGCCTGGGGTGAAGCGGCCTCACAGATCACCCCCTTTAACACCTCGTCAGCTACGACCTCCATGATGGTGACACAAACTCGCCTCTTGCGAGGTGGACCCTACAAAGCCACTGGGGCCCCAACCCCAATTACTACCTGTTCAGGCAGGAGGCCCCGTCATAGCCGCCAGCCGAGTACAGGAGTCCGTGCAAGGCGGCCACACCCAGGCAGCTTCGCCTCGTGCCCATGGACACCTCCGGCTGCCACGTGTTAGTCACGGGATCGTAGGACTCCACGGTAGCCAGGTCTGAGGTCCCGTCGTAGCTAGCAGAATTAACCCACTGCAGGTCAAGACTGGCCTGGCGGGCATGCGCCAGACCCGACCCCAGTCCAGCCTCCAGGCTTACCCGCCCACGGCATACAGCCGGTCCCCATGGGGCACACACCAGACCTGACCCAAGTCCAGCCTCCGGGCTTACCCGCCCACAGCATACAGCCGGTTCCCCACCGCAGCCACTCCCACCCGGGCCCGGCGCGTGGACATGGAGGCCACCACGTGCCAGCGGTCGGTGCGCGTGTCATAGGCCTCACAGTCTCCGTGGATGGCAAACAGGCTCCCACCGCCTGGGGAGGGCAGGTGGAGACGGGACTCGTGAGTGGATCCCACTGCTGGGCCACACCCCGGGCTCCTGGAGAGGCCCCTGGATGGAGGGGCGGAGGGGCAGGTCAGGACCTGACCGGCACAGGTGGGGTGGGCTTGTGCTGGTGGGGAGCAGAAGGCACAGGGCAGGAAGGAAAGGGGCGGGGAGCCATACCCACAGCAAAAAGCACAGGCCCGGCCCCCTCACAGCGCCGGGGCCGCGTGCGGCTGGTGCCTAGGACGCCCCTCTGCTCGGGCAGCAGGTGGAACTTCAGGGCCTCGATGAGAAGGTCCTTGCAGTCAGGGTGGTGCCTCACCAGGCTCTCGGCATCCACGTGGCCCAGCAGGAAGTCGCGGCTCAGTAGAGGCAGCCGCACACACTTCATGAGCTGGGGCGCAGGGAACACTACGCTCAGGCGGGACCCTCGGGCACACTGGGCCCCAGGGCTGAGACAACCCCCCAGATGCCCGTACCACCTGTGTGACGGGTTCTTCTTCAGACAGGGTGGGCACCATCCCCACGGAATCCCTGAATTCGGGAAAGATCAGGGCGCACCAGGCCCTCAGCCACCTGCATGCCCTCCTGGATGCTATGGGAGCCCCCGGGGCCGGGCCTCACCCGTGGGACATGCTGCCTGCGGGCGTCCACGTCGTGTTTCACCCAGCTCAGGACTGCTCGGTAGACCTCCTCCTCCGAAGGCACGTTCAGGCTGTCACTAGAGACCAGTTCCAGCACCTGGGGGTGGAGGTCCTCAGACCTGAGATCTGGGGAGGGTCCTGTGGGCCCAGGGAGCCCTGAAGATGCCTAGGAGGAGGGTTAGGGGGTGGGAGCTGAGTGTTCATACTGGGAGGGGCTGAGCAGAGTCAGGAGCCACAGACCAGGCTCCTGGGGGGCCTCGATCCAGGAGGGTCTTGGGGATGCACAGCAGGCACTAAGGATTGTGAGCAGGGCTGCATCAGGACAAAATGGGGTCGGGAGTCAAAAGCAAAAACGGGTGGGGTGGAGGGCGCCGGCTGGGCCCACCAGCTGTTACCTGTTTCAGGGGCAGCAGCATAAACTCTTCGGTCTTGGCCACGTCCACGAAGTGCTGCAGCACGTACCTGTGGGCGGCCTTGAGCAGGTCGCTGCAGGAGTGCGCATCGGCAAAGCCCCGGATGCCCAGGCAGTTGGAGGGGTCGAGCTGACTCAGCAGGAACTTGCAGCAGGCGTCTCGGACGCCATTCAGCTGCAGGAGGCTGGCGGCTGGGAGCAGAGTCTACAGGGCACCGAGATGCGGGTGAGGGAGGCACAAGGTGGAGGGCAGCGGGATCTGGCTGAGAGGACTTCACCGGGGCCCAGGGGAGGCAGCCGCACCTGCACGTTGCCCTCGCCCACCACGATCTCAGCCGTGTACGCAAACTGCACCAGCTGGTCCAAGGCCTGAGGGTCGATGTCGTGCAGCGTCACGTGGGTCTGGCGGCTCTCGCTCATCTCATCTGTGGGGACAGCGTGTCAGAGGAGCTGACCCGAGGGACCCACGGAGTCCCCAGGGCCGCGCAGGCGGATACTTGCTTGTAAACATGGCGTGGAAGTACGGGCTGCAGGAGGCCAACACCACTTTGTGTGCACGGATCTCCTTGGCGGCCACGTGCAGGACGATGTCGCACAGGAGGCCGCGCTGGCGCATGCGACTCATGGCCACGAAGGCGTCGTGGTAGTGCCGCTTGGAGTTGTGGGCCACGCTGTGGCCCTCGCGGCTCAGCAGCTGCACGGCTCCCTCCATGGGGGCTGC